CCTGTGTTCAGTTTCCTGCTGCTAGAGTCAGTGAAGGATCTCCTGTATGGATGAGGAGCCTCTGACACAAATTCTTCCCTCCACACATCATACTCCAGGAACACAGAACACAGTGTGAAATTATCTGTGCACTGTCACCTGCAATAAGTCCTCTTTCAGAAAATTTTGTACACTGGTGCTGTCTTGGTGTCTTGGCAACTTGATTCCTAGCCCAGTGCTTTTAGAACATTGAGTTATTAGTAAATACTAAGATATGGAATGATGTTATTGCCCAAGGAACTGAAGTAAATTGAAAATAGTACTGCAATGGTAGACACCAATTTGATGTTGCTTAGTTTTTCCTCTAAGGAAGACAAACAGGAAGGATGATCAAGCCCCATATCCAGTGTCTGACTTTGAACTTCATGGAGCTGCAACCTTCAGTCTTTGAGGAGACTGTATAAGCAAAAAAATTAATTTCTGAAGTTTGAGTAATTTCTTACATAGTTTACATAGTACATCAAAGCAAAATGAAAACATCAGTCATTAATTTTAAAAAAAGCAAGCTACAAAAACAATTTCACTGTAGATACCTGTTAAGTGAGATAGAAAACTCGTATATACAGGTTCCCCTGTTTATAGCCGATAGAGACATCTCTAAATCTTATCTCTCTCAGTTCTGGAGCCATCAATGTCTGACAAGAAAAATAAAAAGTGTATGAATGGCTGTCTGCAAGAGAAAGGACACCGTCCTTTCATTTCCATGGCAGAACTCCTGAAGGATTCTCAGGAGTTTCTCAAAATCCATTTCTAAATGGACCTACATATAAATTAAAAGGGACTTTGCAAACAACTCTACCCAAATCATTTTGACATTGTAAACCAGTTATTTAAGTTGCAGCAAAAGCTGCTTTTGTTATTCTGAACATCACCTTATTGAAACCTCAGCAAACACCCATGAGGTACACCAGCTGTAATTGTCATGTTATGCTCTGATACTGTGGAAAGAAAACTGAAGATGCTTATGCTATTTTGGCTCAGCAATGCAAACCCTGACATTTCCTTTCCAGTAGAAAGCCTAGACTCTTGGCAGTACTTTCTCAAATAAGCACATATTTGATTGCAGTGGGATCCTTCCAAGAAGGCTGGTGGATTCACTGCTGCAGCTGCAGCGCTCTGAGCTCTGTTCACTGTTACCCACCCACAATTGTTTCTCAAGGTCTGCTAGAAAAGCACCATATTTCTTCTTATTCTTGTCAGCTCTTGCTGGCTTAGCATCATCTGACATTTGCACTTTCCTCTCCAGGATTTTATAGCCCCCAGGTTCCACCACAAAATCTGGAGGAATCTAGACTGGCTTCAGACACTCACTGGTGCTCAGTGTGCACTTAAGGCTGTTTTCACACAATAGTCCTCACCATACAGCCTCATGGATCCTCCAGGTGAAAATCTCAGCTTCCTCTCAGGCAAAAATGAAAAGATCATAAACCAGAGATGAAGGGACCCTAATCCAGGAACTGGCAGGTAAATTACCTCCTCATGACCCATTAACGGTTGAGCTCCATGATCATAAGGGTCTTTTCCAACCTAAATAATTCCATGATTCTATGATTTTCTTCACTCTTTAGGGTCAACCACTCAGCAGCAGCAGCTCCTCTGCATCTCTCCATCAATCCAAGCACAAGTTTCGTCTCTTCCTCCAGATGGTGACGATGATGACAAGGACTTCTCTTCCATCAGAGCACAGCAGAGATGTGTGAAAGGATCAGTACATCTTCTCCTGCTTGGGAACCCTCTCAAGGCCCTGTTTGTGTTCTGCACTGGCTTGTAGAGAAGCTGCAACACACACCAAGTCTCCCCACTCTGTTCTGGCACTCTGCAATTACTATAAAGCACTGCTGGATGCGATAGTAGGTGCTCACAGGGAGCCTGAACACCTCTTCACTGCACAGCAATAACTCCTTGCTCGAAACATTGACAGCACTAGCCCCACAGCACAAACAAGCCTTTCACCATCAGCCCAAAGGCTGTGAATTATTCCCTGGTAATCCTGAATAAAAATCAGGAATCTTGCATTTATTCACAGACAATCTGCAAGCTGCAAAAAGGCGTAATCTACTCAATACTCTACTTGTTTTGAAGTAAACCTGAGTTAACTTGGTAGTCCTGACAACAGATAACTCCACTTAGAAAAATTACCCAGAAGGTATTTCCATGGTATTGTGCAGTGGCTGCTTCTGATAACCAAACTAATTCTTGTTTTTCTACATGACAGAGCAATGAAGACAAACCTAAGTGGGTACATCACTTTGCTTGCTCCTTAGTATCCAGATCTAAGACCCAAACAGAGGGATCCTAGCCCTCTCTTACTGCTTTGTAAGAGGGCAGTCCAAATCAGAATTTACTCCTCAAAATGCCACTGCTTTGGGAAAAACAACTTATTAGACTCTAAGCCCCTTCATCTACGTGTCCTGCAGTGCCACTGCAGTAAAGTGGAAATAATTAGTCAAATCCCCGCATCTTTAATGTCTATATTTTGTTCTGGCAAACTTCTAGACCGATTCAGTGGGAAACTTGCCTGCATGAATTTAAAAACAAAAGGATTTGGCTTGCTGGCAATTCATAAATTATCTGGACTTCAGTACAACATTTTATCCAATGTTTTGTGAAGTATTTCTAGGAAAATTATTCGCATTTGCTCAGAGCTAGACATGTCACATGAAGAGAAAACTGGCTGCAGCCACATCTACAAAGGATAGAAATGCTAAGCAACAATGCACTGTGTTAGAAGAATTAGCTTCCTGGGCCAGTCATGTATCAAACTCTGCTGCTTATGGAGGACAGGGATAATGGTGTCACTACAACACATATCTCATATGAGATAGCAGGAATTTTTCAGATAAATTAATTTAATTTTATCACTATGTATTCAACAAAGCAAAACACTTCTGAAGCACCCTTTTGACTTTGATGTGTGGTTGCTGCCTGTTCTCTTGCCAATGGGTGGGACAGATGGCAAGGTCCGAAGTAGTCCTGCCATAAAGAAGTCTCAAGATTTTTGAGGGTGCATGGTTCTGAGATGGCCCCTCCCCTTGTAGATAAGGATATACTTGATTTTTAATTTGCCCCTTCAGTACCACAAACAGATGCATGCAGTTGTTCTTGTTCTCAAACTCCAACTCTTTCCAGTTCCACGGTTCTCCCAGGAAGATCTCCTCCGCTGCCTCTCAGCTCAGCCTTCCCCACTGTTGTGATCTTCTGCCAGCTCTCATCTGCTACTCCCCATTGCCCCAGATGCCTTCCTATTGCTCCCAATCCTCCTTTGCTTGTCAGTTCCTTCCTCTGTTTTCTGGACACAAATTCCCCTGTAATCCAGCTGCTTGCAGAGAATCAGCCATGGGATGATTTATTACTCAGGAAGCTCTGCCCATAGAGGGGTGGGAAACAGGTGAAATTTCTCTGAAAGATCCCATCTATCCCATCACCTTAGTGGGGAAAATCCAAGAAACCCATTTGCAACTCCTTTAAAACAGCCATTTCCCCAGGATCCAACCAGAAGGCTAAGGGTTAAGAAGCACCATGACATTAATTGCTGTCTGGTCACTTATATAATGCTCCTTGGCATCTTGCACGCTGTGTATACAAAATCACCTCTCACACCAGTGGAATGCAACCATCTCCAAAGCACAGCATATGTTCATCATCTCTCAGTGCAAGGGAACAAAACTGGACCAGAAGCAAGGAAATACATAATGTTCCACTGAGGGAGTAGAGGAGCAGGATACAGAGGGTATTTTCCCCACAAGGAGGCAAACTGGCAAAAGGTGAAGAGGTCCACTTAATGATCCAGCTAATCTTCTTTTTCTGCCACTTGGCCTTTGCTCCCCTAATGCAGAGAGAAGGAGATTATGCCCTCCCTATCCACAGAAGAAATCACTGTTGGTTTTTTTTCCTCTCCTTAATGGTTCTCCCTCCTCTCTATTTGGACTTACCTTCCCCTTGAAGAGCTCTGCTGCTGCCCGATATCTGCGCACTCGTTCAGGGTGCTCTGGGGACATCTTGTCTGTGATCAGGAGAAGGTGAAGCTGGAGTGAACTCTGCATCACACCTATTGCTGTCTGCCAAAAACACAGGCACCACATACAGAGAGAGAAACACAGACAGGACAAAGATAGACAAGGAGATTGAGAGCATTCAACCTGTATTGGATACACTGCCAGAGGAACATCAATTCTCATGTCTCAGCTGCGATTTCTTTGCAAATCAGCCTCACATGCAGGACAGCTTTCTTTAAAGCAGGAGGGATCCAATCTGGGCTCCCTGTGGAAGTGTTTAACTTCCTGGCTTTGCTTATTCCTGAGACGAGAGTCTGAAGACCACAGAGGCTCATCATTTTTCTCAGGATAGTCAGTGACTAGGCAGGGAGACTGCCTGGAGGCAGCAAGCTGAAGTCTAGAGGGGCAAGGATGTGGAGAGGGAAGGCCAGCAAACACTGAACACAAGGGTGCCCTGAATTACTTAGGTACAGCATCCAGCTGAAATGGGAGCAAGAAAATATGAAGGGTTTGTGGTGTCAGGGTTGGTGTCTCCTCTCATTTCCTTTCTTTAGCATTAAGCTGTGTGTAGGATGGGGATGAGTCCAGAGTTTCAGCAACCCTGGGGCCTGTGCATTCCAGAGTGCTGAGGGTTAAAATTGCCTCTGCAGTCCCACAGTGGGAGACTTGGAGCCAGTTGTCCCTCGTCCCCTGGGCAAGGACCAAGTGGGCAGCACACACTGGCCCTCTGTGAGGAGACAGGGCTGGCACTGCTCAAGAAGCCACCACACCATCTCCAGGCACTCACTTCTCCTCCTGCCCACTTCCTGCAGCCCTGCAGCCTCTCCCTCAAACTAAACAGCAGCCAGGCCAGGCCTGCTGCCTCCCCCGTGCCACTAAAACCACGGAGGCGCAGCAGACTGGGCAGCTCCCTGCCAGAGGGAGAAGAAAGTTTCCACACGTTCCAGGAGTAATACGGAAGGGGGTCAGTGAGTGCATGCTGGCAAGGGCCATGCACTGCAGAGCATCTAGTTTTTGGCAGCCAGGGATCTACCATTAGTCTAATATTTATCAGACATTTTGCATCCCTTCACTTCTCTGGTGGTGCACAGATGGAGCTGAGGCGAGGGGGTGCAGAGCAAGGATGCAGAGCATTAGAAGACCTTATGGGAGAGGATGGGGCTGAAAGTGAGGGTGAACCCCACCAGCACCAAGGGCAACAACAGGGCTGGAATGAAAGGGGGCAGAGCTGGAGCCACAGTTCCTCCAGCAGCTCCACACAAAGGCGTGCCTGTCCACACAAACTTCTGTAAGAGCAATAAGCAGAGATCATCAACATGGCCGGGTCACATCTGACTCTCCTGGAAAGCGCACAGGGTAAGCATTGCCTAAAAATGCCTAAAGTATGTGGGCGAAACAGTAAGGGCCCCAGGATGGGGAGAGAAACTCTTGGCCGCACTCAGTGACCCCTGCCTCTGCTGACAGGCAGCAGATGTAAACAGCATATGCACTGGGAATAAATATTTACAAAACACCAAGCTACATTAGTGGAGCTGGGAGGGCTTCAGGATGGGGACTGTAGGAGACACTTTTAATTGCCACACCTTGATAGGACTCCAGAATGTCGGGAAAAAACTGGAACAACAAGTGTACTGTCAGTCTGGGTGGATGGAGGGGACCAGCTGAACCACTCAGGACTTCGTGGTCAGGGAGACAGCCTGGGTGCCAAACAGGACACCATGGAGCAAAAGCCCAAAGCATCACCACAAACACATGAAGAAAGAGCAATGATCCAATGAAAAGCCAAAAGAGGCAGTGGAGGCTCCAAGGTTTCAGAATGTCTGGGTATTTATGAAGATAACAAGAACATCCCCACTGATGTGAATTGGATGTTCTCAGAGGGCTGTAAGGACAGAAGGGCAGGATATAGTTTTTCTGTCCCCAGAAATATTCTGTGATTTTTGAAATGTTTTTCTCACATCCCTTATCAAGATGAAAAAACAGATCCACTTTTTTTTCCCAAAAAAGGACCAAAAAATAGCTTCTACAGTATTTAACTCCAGAAACAAAATGTTGTGGTTCCAAAACAAAATACTGACTCTACTGGCAGACTGCACCTGAGCTGGGGAATGTGTCAACCCTCTTGGCTGATCCTTGGCATCAGTTTGGAAAGCTATAGTTTTGAAACAGGTCAGGCCATTCTTCTTTGATTAAATTGAGCCTGGTCAGCACTGCTGTGGACATTCTTTCACAAAAGAGTCCATCAGCAATGATAAAGTCTCAGCCTTGTGGCCACTGGGGATTCTAAGACCCATTGGCTCCACAGCAACAAGCCCAGTGAACTGCTGAGATTTCAGGCAAGCCTAAATCCTTGGTCACCCTCTATAAGGGAGAGGAGCACTGGGAACCAAATGACTGCCAGTCAGGTGGGTGAGCTAATGAAGGTGGCCAACATGGAAGCATCCTATGCCTGATTATTTTTGTTAAGCTGATGAATTCTGGAGTAAGAAATGGAGGGGATGGGAAAAATTTTGTTTGGGAAGTTTCCAACCACTTCTTAAATATGCCTTCAAATAGCCAGGCTTATTTCAAGCCCTATGTGTTGGGTGATGAAGAAGTGCCTGCCCACTGGGAGTAGGTCACTCAAGTTTCGATGTTTCACAAGGCTTCTCAGTCAAAGAGAGGAGATCACGACTGAGCAGGGTCTGCAGGCATGGCACAACACGGCAAAGGCCCATGGGCAGAAGTGGCGTTGCTGGCAGGAGTGGTAAGAAATGGAGCTTTCTACCCACCAACACCCCAAATTTACTGGGGTAGAGGAACCCCACGCCCCCCTTCCTCTCCTCACCCTACTCCACATGCACAGCACCTGCTTCCAGTCCCCAACTGGAGTAGCAGCAAAGAGCTGTATGGCTTCCACAACCCCATCTACACCGTTGCTGCAACCTTCACACACACCTGGGTGTGCAAACTCTTGGGCCAGAGGACACCCATGAGGAGGCGGCAAAGTGCCAGGGTGGGGGCTGTGGGGAGCTGGTAATTACCACAGGGTTGTACTCTGTAACCAGGCGGAGCTCATTCATCCGAACAAAACGAGTAATCTTCTCAGCATCAACTTCTTTGTTGTTCATATCCAGATCCCTCCGGTCATTGTCTACCTGAAGACAGGCAGAGACACTTACAGTCACACAGAGAGCTGCACTCTCCTCTCAGCACCCCCTCCAGAGGCACTGACGGCACTCACTCATAGTGACAGCACACCCCTCCTTTTGGGGCACCATCTTCCTCTCCCCTCCACTATGTAATCCTCACTTCTGGAGGTCCAGAACCATTAGACCCACAGAAAACAGCTTACACTTTGAGATAAGGATCTTCCACCTTCCTTCAGTCTCCGAAGGACAAGGCAAACTCATGGCATAACAGAGATCACTGTTATGACTCCAGACATCCCTGATGCACTGGAGACGGGGAGGATTAGCTGACAAACTATTCTAGGCATTGTGGGGAGAGATCATTAAATAGCCTAACTCTTCACATCAATTTTGGCTTTACATTCCTTTTCAAAATCTTCATCTGCTGCTTCTGTTTCTTCTACAAGTAACAAACATTGGCATGGACCATATGGATTTCCTGGAAACATTGTGCAAACAGGAAATCTCTCCAATAAAAAGAGGATTTTTTTTTAAGTACAACAGAAAAAAAAGAAAAAATAGAAAAAAAATCAAGCACAGCACATTTTAGCTTTAGAGGAAAATCCATCCTGCCACACATCTCCCCACACTCCACATGCCCTCCCCTCCTACCTCCCAAAGATGTGATTTTATTGAGGTTTGCTTGACCTGGTAAACAGAAAAAAAGCAGGCAAACATTGAACGATAGCTAAGCCACCCAAAGGGGCAGAGTGGCTGTGCAATACCACCACAGGACGTGACTGAGTTGAGCCATGGGGACGCTGGGGCCTGACATGCAAAAGCATCAAAGTTTGGGATTTGAAGGCCTTAGATACACAGAATGAATAAGGTTCTTGGGCTGAGGAAAGATCCATGTGCACACCCTAGATTTTATTCTCTGCATCTGTACACCCTCTGAAAGAGCTTGTGTTAGCTTTTCCAGTGGTATGCAGACATCTAAAGCCCTTTTTGCTGTTCTGTGGTCATTGGCAAAGTCTTTGATCTGGTAGAGGGGCCACAGCACCCTGTCAGACAACCCAAACTGCTCCTGTTTAGACTGTGCAGCCTAATTCCTCTCACAGATTTGCTCCTGTGTAAAATGAAAGGGCAGCTCTACTCAAGTAAACGGGATGAGGGCAGTGCAACACCTGGGTAGCTAAGATCAGACAGGCCTTGGGAACCAACCTAAAGCATCTCAGGCTCCACAGAAACTATTTTCTTGACTTTCATGAGCTTCTGGAAACACCTGATTTCCATCTGGGGATAATAATATCCTACATCTGTGCTCAACATTTATTATTTCAAGAAAGTAAGGCTGGAAAATATTCTGCATCTAATAATTAAAGCTCTGATCAAAATGTCTTCATCACTCCATATAATGAGTTTATTAGCATCTCTTAATTGTGTTCTTTTTAGGTCTATCAGGCCAGTTTCCCCACTAGAATAAATCAGTTTCCTTCAACTATATGCAAAGAAGTCTCACGAGTTGACAGCAGCCCTTCCTACTACTGTAATTATGTTTTAAACTTCTAAGCATTATACGTGTTTCATACTCTGCAAAAGCAAAGAAAAAATTAGTTTATGCCTCTGATTCACTGCTATCCTGGTCACGCATCTTTGTACTCTTCAAATGGTTATTTGATTCCAAGTTTCTGTCTCAGTTCTTTTTTCTTTTCCTTTTTATCTCTGACCCCTTACCCCTACATAGAATTCAGCACAGAATAAAAGATAACGTCTGAATAACTTAAGAAAAACTGACAATTAGACAAGTTGTCAACCACATTTGAACCTGACTAGTGTATGAGTTTCTTGGTTTTGTTTTTTTTCCTATTAATCAAGATTCAGCTGCAAAAACTGGACTGTGAACAAAGATTATTCAATATAATCCAAATTCCAACAATTCAGACATTTTCTTTTATCAAATACCCTCCCAATGCAGTAATCTTCACTATCTGCCACAGCACAAAAACAAAGGATCTTTTCAATACTTTTGGAAGAAAACCACCATGACTAAGAACCAAAACTGAGGTGGGTGTTGCTTCCGATTGCAACATCTGCCCACAGCAAATAAAAGGTTAAATAAAAGGACTTGCCTACCTATTGCTCACTCTTAGATCATTCTCTTTGAATTATTTGGATAATGCCAGTGGTAAACACTGTGAGGGAAATGATGAGAAGGACAGGAGAACAAACTGTCTTTGTCCAATCTTTATACAACCTGGGTCTAGAACTTGGCCAAGCTGCCGCATTTTGTTTCTCTAATACACGTAGTGTGGCCCCATCACCTCCCCTTAGAATTCTGGTGACACACCACTTTATTGGCTTGTACTACCTAGGGCCCCTCTCCTCCTCAGATACACCTCTCTTCCCAGTTTTCAAGTGCCATACTTATGTGAGAAGGGGCAACACAAGGAAACTGATATAACCAATAGAATACTTGCTCTTAGCTTTTGTTAGTACTCTTGAAGCATGTACATAGCCCTTCCCAATACCATTTCCTTAAATTTCAGCAAACATGGTTTTATGTTCAGTGAGGCACCAGCACTTATAGCTGGAGTCAACAGAGACTTGAACTTGTACAGCGTCTATTCCTAAGAAACTGCAAAGTAGCATTTTTAATGGACCCATGCCCAAAGTGTACTTAGGGAATAACTCTGCAAATCACGCTGTAGGAGACAGAAAAAAAGTGGGATTTCTTTCGGTGGCAGAGCATCTGTAACTGAAGAGACCCAGTCTGGATCTGTTTTCAGCCACAATGGAAAAGTTGTACACCCAAGGAGACATCTTTGCCTGCCTGAAGTGACACTTGGCAAGATTTGATATCAAGCCTGCTGTGTTGATTCGTTGTAACATGGCCTCTAGATGGTTTTCATGTGTCTCAGGAGCTTTTCCAAAACCATGGAAACCCCATCCAAGTAACAGTGAACTCCAGGGAGGTCACTTAGAAACACAGACATCGTTCTTTGCAAAGAATGGGGTGCTGGACCAGACCCACATGAGATCTTAAAATCGAGAATGTCATCAGGTGTAATAAATGTTGTGTGTCTCAGTGATGGGCACTCTGCAAGAGAAAAACAAAAGACCCTTTTTTTAGGTGAGCTGGCAGAGTGACTGTCAATGACAAGTCTTTTTTTCGGTTTGCTCTAAGGAGAGATAAGTAGCGTTCATCTTCTTCTTTATCACTTACCTGGAGATTTAATTTCTTCTGTAGCATGACTGCAGGCGGTTTTCAAGCGCTTTTCCTAGAGCCTCTCTCACCCAAACGTGACTTCCTCCCTGACCTACCCTCCCCC